GATCCTCAACTGCAACATGTGAAAAAGTTTTTTCTGCCCTGACAAATGTGCTTACATACCTCCGTCAGTCGATGTCTCATGAAAGACTGGCGAACTTGATCCTCATCGGGTTTGAGAAGTGCGTCCTTGATGATATATGTCAGTGTTGATGGGAAGCATAAGATATTGAGAGACTTCAATTCTATTCAATTAATTACAAGGGTCCAATCAACCTTCCCTGAGACTGACTCGTGCTTTCTGTTTTGATTAAAATACCAGTTCATACCTAACTTAAGCTCTTGTTGTCGGATATCAAAGATTTTATCATGAGTGAATTCGCTTACGAATTAATAAGGAACATCAATAAATGATAAAAATTTATAACTAAAACTGAAAATGATTACAATGTACTCACGCTCTTTGAGTTTGTCATTGCGCCCTCAATGTGTGCGTCCTGGCTACGACACTGCCTAATTATAATCATTATCAAGCCAGTGAGCAAAGTGCACGCTTGCTCACAAACATTATCCAATTAGAAATAAGAGAAGACATCAGTTGTGTTATATTACTTATATTTAGTTGAAGTATAATGATCACATGGTGTATAACATATAGGCTAACAAAGCATGATCGGTTAGTTGATTATAGATACAACATTACATCCCATTAAGTCTGGTAATAGATTTTATCTTATTTTTCTTTCCTGTTTTCTGGTAAGGTATGCGTAAAATAGTATTTGTATTAAACTTTATCTGCTGTATTCCGCTGTCGACGATGTCTTTTGCTTAAGTACCAGAACTAATCAGACCAGCTTGGCTACTATAGTCATAATCTTGGTAGAAACGCGGTTTATATTATTCTTTTATGAAACATCAAGCTTAAACGTTATAAATCTAAAACTATGTATTTTATAAACAGCTACAAATAAATTTGAACTAAGATTTTGTACACAAACATGCAAAGAGAAATATATTTATACTTTTATAAATGTTTTGGAAATACATTTAGAGTTGCGTTTTAAATATGCTATAGTGCATGTCACACAATAATAGTTATAATAAGAGACGAAAAAAATCTTCAAAAGATAAACTTTTATATATTTATAAAATCATATAATGGAACAGTTTTTATATGATTTCTTTTAGCTCTACTAGATGGCGACAGCAAGCTGGATTGTTGTTTATTGAATTTAATGTATGTTTGTTTTATAACAAAACCACACTGGGCTCTCTGCTGTGTCCACCTCAGGAAATCAAACCCCAGATTTTAAGAGTTGCAAGTCCGTTGACTTACTGCTGTCACACCGAGGTACTTTGAATTTAATGCCACAACAGGATGGGATAAATTATTTTATTTATTTAGTTTGAATAAGACAAATACTAAGATGAATTTGGCTAATACCATTTATTTACAAGTTATTTTAATTTTAGTAACATATTATGGCAGTCCTTGATATTTCCAAAACCCTCCCAAAATTACAATAATTTTAATTCTTATAAAAATTAAGCCATAGGTTTTTCCCTTGAAGAGTAGTGCTAAATTAATTAATTAATTGTTTGTTTGTTTTTGAATTTCGCGCAAAGCTACATGAGGGCTACCTGCGCTAGCCGTCCCTAATTTAGCAGTGTAGGACTAGAGGGAAAGCAGCTAGTCATCACCACTCACCGCCAACTCTTGGGCTACTCTTTTACCAACGAGTAGTGGGATTGGCCGTTTCATTATAACATCCCCACGACTGAAAGGGCGAGTATGTTTGGTGAGACGGGGATTCGAACCGGCGACCCGCAGATTGCGAGTCGAGTGCCTTAATCACCTGGCCATGAATTAATTAATATTAATAAATTTATGATAAGTTGAAATTTCAAAATCGTCTCATTTATACATTGAATAATTATTTTCTTTGGAAATGAAACAAATTATTGAAGTGTTGAAATATTTTAGTTAATAGTTTGAACTTTAGTTATATTCGACAATATAAATTTAACAAAACAAATTCCTAATGCCATCAAGAACTCGGTCTTACTTATCCTTATTATGTTGGTCAAGTAAAAATGTACTAAAAATGAAAGGATAATTAAGCTATATCTATCACTAACTGGTATAAATCTTATCTCTTATTCTGTTTTTTTTAATATTTTTATTATTTTCATACTAATGAATGGGATGACATGTTCAAAAGCCGAATATATAATATTGAATTGTATAAATCTACATGACATATACTTTTTTCAGGTGACGGATTTCAGAATTTAAAATATATTATTTCAATGCAATTAATTTTTGGGCCACACCTGAACTTTGTAATTTACTCGTGTCATAATTCTTGGTTGGTCATATAAATTAGCAGACTTTTGAGGTAACATCGGACACTCTTCTTTGTCTTCTATAAAAGCAGTATTCAGCTGTAAAAGTGCCCTAAGGAGGATAATATTTAACAGTTATAAAAAAGAAAAGAAATCTACCACACAGATTAAATTGTATGGTATAAACAGTATATCAAAAGAAGAAACTGACATCAGTGTTTCTACCATCGTTGATGTCAATATCAGAACTAATTGAGTTTTCTAATGTAATAAATGTAGTGAACGTTTTATAGTATTCTTTACGAAAACGTTTAAGTTACGGCGTGATTTTATGAGAAGTTAATGAAGTTGTTTTTATTAATGCTATAATCGAGGCCTAAATTAGTTTTTGTAACAACAAGGTGTTTACGTTTAAGAGATGCTATTAAAAATGCCATAAAAAAGCAGGACGTTGGTTAGCTTCTGGCGGATTCAGAATTTACAATGCAAATTTCTTATTACGCAATACAAGCCATTTTGTTCTCTCGTGGTTATTAAAGGTAAAATAACTTTATAGTTCAAGTGAAGTTTTTATGGCTCTTTTTAATTTGACACTGCCTTTCTTGCCTGACATTCTCATATTCAGACTTATGTTGTTCAAGCATTATTAATCAAATTTATTGTATTTGAGAATATAACATTATTAGTTAGCTTTTAAATAATTAAATTACGTTAAGAATTTTGTGATATATATATATATGTTTGAAATTCTTAATTAATATTTTAAATTTTATATAGAATACATGTTTAGAAAAACGTGGGCATTAGCCTATAAGAGCTGAAAAAAATCCGTTTTGCTAATTATATGCCAATATTTGTTTTTCACAGCTGAAAAAGAATTTAGACTTGGAAAGAAACTATACGAAGCTGAGTATATAAATGGTTGAAATTACTGGTTCACCTAGTGGTTATTAGAAATAAGGGTTCTTCCAGGAAAACATCTTAATATTAGGTAAGTGATAGTTCGATCGTTGCATTCTCGATATTTTGTTTTCAAATATTAAAATGTTTAATTTAACTAGTGTTTATAAAAATACCCATCAGCTGAAACACTTCTGAGTTCAGAGTTTGACTTCAAAATTAATAATAGTTTGACTTACTGGAGATCCGGTCACTTCTATTTTAGTTTACTGACACTTTATGATAGCGGATTCTTACGTAAACCTATACTACTAATATAATTACTAAACACTTTCAGTAATTACTAAAACAGCTGTTATGTAGATATTAAATTCAATGACTTACATCCTGTGTGTATACAGAACTTGGATGTCGTTGTTGTTTTCTTAGTGCAAAGATGCACAAT